AGGCACCTATAACTAAGTGATTATGACATGTTTTTAACTAGTTATGAGTTCAATAGACAACACATATAGAAAATAGGCATCTTAGTAGCCAAAATGGCCTTACTTGAGCCATTTTGGTTGAAATTGCGTCCCAAAACCACTTACTTGCTCTTTTTTTGTAATCTCAAGCATTAGGCACCTATAACTAAGTAATTATGACATTTTTTAACAAGTTATTAGTTCAATAGACAACAAATATAGAAAATAGGCATCTAAGAAGCCAAAATGGCCTTACTTGAGCCATTTTGGTTGAAATTGCGTCCCAAAACCACTTACTTGCTCTTTTCTTGTAATCTCAAGAATTAGGCACCTATAAATAAGTGATTATGACATGTTTTAACTAGTTATGAGTTCAATAGACAACAAATATAGAAAATATGCATCCTAGAAGCCAAAATGGCCTTACTTGAGCCATTTTGGTTGAAATTGCGTCCCAAAACCACTTAATTGCTCTTTTCTTGTAATCTCAAGCATTATGCACCTATAACTAAGTAATTATGACATGTTTTAACTAGTTATGAGTTCAATAGACAACAAATATAGAAAATAGGCATCCAAGAAGCCAAAATGGCCTTACTTGAGCCATTTTGGTTGAAATTGCGTCCCAAAACCTCTTACTTGCTCTTTTCTTGTAATCTCAAGCATTAGCCACCTATAACTAAGTGATTATGACATTTTTTACCTATTTATGAGTTCAATAGACAAGAATTATAGAAAATAGGCATCCTAAAAGCCAAAATGGCCTTACTTGGGCTATTTTGATCGAAAATGCGACCTAAACCCTCATATTGCTATTTTCTTGTATTTCATTCCTTAGTCACATATAACTAAGTAATAATTTCATGTTATTATTATGAGTAAGCTAAGTATGAGTTCACTTACGTTTTGTGTATTATTCCAAGTTTTGTTCGGGTCATTCCTACTAACTAACCCCAATTATTATTAATTCACTTCTACTAACTCACGTTTTGTGTATTCTAAGTTTTGCAAGGGGCAAACGGGACAGCCATACACGAGCGAGGAACTCCATGTAATTTGAGAGATGTTGGCGACCTACATCACATTTAATTTGTAAATATCGTTTACTAGCTAGCTACTTCAATCCTAGCCTTAGCTTACTAATTATGTACTATACATTATTATAACTAATTAAAATTGTTTGTAGGTAACATGAAACATTTTTCTAATTAATATCATCTCTTGCGATTGTTATTATTATTTATGTTTTATTATTAATAATACTAATTGTTGTTACTATTATCATAATAATTATTATTATTATTACTATTATAATATTAATAATTATTATTATTAATATTAAAATTATAATAATAATAATTATTATTAATATTAATATTATAATAATATTAATTATTATTATTAATATAAATATTATAATATTAATAATATTGCAGCCAAAAAAAAAAATACAGGTCAATGGCAACGGTTAACCGTTGCCAATATTGATAATATTGCAGCAAAAAAAAAAAATACAGATCAATGGCAATGGTTAACCGTTACAAATATGTAAAAAAAAAAAAAAACAAAAAGGGCACCATTGTATTTGGCAACGGTTAACCGTTGCCAACTCAAGCAATTGGCAACGGTTAACCGTTGCCAATTATTTTTAAAAACAAAAAAAAGGGTGCCATTGTATTTGGCAATGGTTACCAATTGCTTGAGTTGGCAACGGTTTTGAACCGTTGCCAATTATTTTGGGATTTGGCAACCCTCAAATACACAACGGTTCAAAACTGTTGCCTTTGGGGGGGTTTGAACCATTGCCAATTTGCTCTTTTCGTGTAGTGTCCTTTCTCTTCAAAATAGTAAAGAAAAAAAATGTTAAGAGCATTCAAACACCATACAGGCGGCATAAATTGCCGGTTGAGCAGTAAACCTTTGTCCTAAAAGGTGCTAAGCCCGCAGGCGGAAAGGAACGCCTCGTCTCTGAACCAGTCCGGATGAGGGACCCATAATTTGGGGACAATGATTTGTGTCCCATCATCCAGTGGCCTTGTAATCTTCTTAAACAGTCCCGGCTCCATAATGGCATCTCAAGCCTCAGTCGGTACCTTTGGGAGGGCGCATTTCTTTCCTAATAGAGCCGAATTCTTATTGTAACGGCGCAGCCGGTGATTTGCAGCCGTAGATGGGGAAGAGACGAAATAAAACTTGCTCTTCCAGCTAGTCCATTTGGAGGGCTTCTCCAATGTCATCATGTATTTTGGATGCGTGGTGAGTGTGTACCACGCATTCCAGCCGCCTGGGGCACGGCTCAGGTAGTGCATGTGCGCGAACCCCTCCTAGCTAGGCGTCACGTCCTGCATCTCGCAGGCGGCAATATATCCCAAAATGTTCACCCAAGAGTTAGGTGTGAGCTGTCAAACGCCAAGGTCGTAACCCCTTAGAATGGCCTTGATCGTTTTGTGGAAGGGAAACCGGAGGCCGGCTTTGAATGCCGCCTCATAGCAACCGAAATAATTGTTGGTATGTTCCAGGACGTCATCCCAGACGACGGTTGCATCAGCAGGCGGGACACCGACTTCCCATCCGGACCCTACAAGGCGCTTCTCCAAAAAAGTCGGGAGGGTTACATTTAATGTCACCACATCCTGGGCGCTCATGTGCGGCTCAGTCGGATTATTTGCTGATGTCCAGTTATAGGCCTCCTCATCATCTCGAGGGGCATCCGGCGTCATTTTAGACTCCGTTGAGTCGGACTGCTGGACGGTATCCTCACCGCCTGAGCTCCCGGCCTCTTCTAATATCTCATTTCCAGGCGTGTTAGGTACGCCCGGTTAGTCAAAAGGTACATCCTTAACCGGAGTTCCGGCTGAATCATCTTATTGGCTCGGGATCAACCGCAGTTTTCCTTGTCCGAGCCATTCTGTCCTGCACATGAACAGAGACGGTCGGATTCCTAGCAGAATTAGGGTGGTCCCATGACGGTATCCCCAGTCCTAGACTCAGCCGTATCCGGTGAATGGTTGACATCTGCCCTAGGTCGTGTCGTGTGTGTGTTGGGAGAGTCCATTACTCTGACGTATGCAACCGGGAAAAACTCAAAGTTACGAAGGGCAGAGACGGTACCTTGAAGTGTTGAAGAAGTTTGTAGAAGACCGTTATCTCAAAATGTGGCTTGCAGATGCCATAAGCGGAAGATTCCGGTTGCTTGTGTTTTGAAAGCTGAAATACAAAGCAAATAGTCAGCTGTTTGCGTAGAAAATCACTCAAACATACCCCAGACGGTATCAAATAGAATGCAATTTTTGAAGATTGCTCAAAGATACCCCGGGCTGTATCTATAGAAAGCAGTTTATGAAGATGACTCAGAGATACCCCAGACGGTATCTATAGAAGTGCATTTTTTAAAAGTTGCTCCAAGATACCCCAGATGGTATCTATGGGGCGCATTTTTTAAAAGTTGCTCCAAGATACCCGGCCCCAGACGGTATCTATGGGGCGCATTTTGTGAAGATTGCTCCAAGCTACCCCAGACGGTATAAGACCGGCTGAGGATCCATAAGATGCAGTATTTGAAGAAAATTGCACAAAAATACCCCAAACGGCACAAGGCCGACTGAGGGTCTTATGAAATCAAATCAAAAAAGAAAAAATTGCTTGAAGATGCCCCAGACTGCACAAGGCCGGCTGTGGGTCTATAGCAAGAAAATTATGAAGATTGCTCAGAAATGCCCTAGGCGGAATATTTCCTGCTGTGGGTCCATTGGATGCAATCTTTGAAGGCAATTTTTTGAAGATACCCCAGACGAAATATTCCCGGTTGAGGGTCTATGAAATGCAAGTTTTGAAGAACAATTGTTTGAAGATACCCCAGACGGAATATTTCCGGCTATAGGTCTATGGAATGCAATTTGTGAAATAAATTGCTTAAAAGTGCCTCAGACGGTGTAAGACCGGTTGTGGCTCTACTGAAATCAAGAAATTGATCAAGTCAGACGGTACCTTAGAAAGGGTCAAAGAAGTACTCAACCGGTAACCGGATGCGTTTGAAAGAAGAAGCTAGTTGCACGAATTAGCAGTCGGTGTCAGAGCTTTTTTCTCTCAAGTGATTTTTGTAAAAATTTGCAAAGTAGCAAATGAGAGGAGGAGGCCTCCAATTTATAGGAGGGGGGGCAGAAGGCGCATTGTCACCTCCCTTTCCAATTCAAATTTGAATCCAAATTCGAATTCAAAAAAAAAAATAATGGAGGGAAGGAGACGAACCGTCACCTTCCCGGAATGTGACACGTGTCACAGGAGCCACGTGGCAAGCCACATCACACCTGTGAGGGGCAAATGTTTAGGGTAAAAAAAACCCCCCCTATGCCACGTGGCCCAATACCTTGCTGACATGTGGCCGCCCTTCAAAGGCCCATTGGGATCCAATCAGATGCTGACACGTGGCATTGTAACCTTAATGGCAGAGCAGATCTTCATCTGCTATAAATAAAGGAAATTCCTCATTTATTAAACATTCATAAATACATACACAAAAACCGAGCAATATTAATTGCGGATTCTCTCTGAATCAGGGAGAAAAACCCATTTACTTTCCGCATTTTTACCCATCCAGAATCATACTAACTTGATCGTCGGAGGCGGAACTCCACCCAACCGGAGTTTCGTGGTTTTGCAAGTACGGACGTCAGGCGCGCATTCCCGAAATTGTAACTCTCCCGAGAGACTCCAAAAACCCCGAAACAGAAATAAAGGGCATACTAATAAATCAAAATGTGAAACAGAGTTATCTGTTAGTACAACGAAATCAAGGAATGCTACATTGCTACAAGTGCAACGAAAGCAAGCTGGGCACGCATTTATAAGAATTATTATAACTGAATTTAATTTCACGTGATTGCTAAATATGGGTATGGGTTAGGCCGTGTTCCTTGTAACCATACGTGCCGTATCAGCTTGTCTCTTGTTTAAGTGGCCCATGTCTAGAGTGGCTTATAGGATACAACTCATACAACTAAAGGTTATATCATAAAAAGGGTTGCAGCTTGCTAGACAATGTCTAGCAATAGTAATTTTGTAAGTGTAACGTTTTTTTCGCCTAGTCATTTTGTCCAGAAGATCAACCCATGGCCAAATATGAAGGTGTTGACAACAAATTCAAAAGGAGCTCATATAGCATCATACTAGATGAAGCGAGGATGGTTACAATGCAACTGAACGTATAAGTACAAGTCGACATGTAACACAAACCTTTGATCATACTAAGCATAGCTTATTCTACTACATTATACACGCCTAGAAGGTCGATGATCAAACACACGTATAAAACGTACAAACTCGACTTTAAACTCCAACGTTACATTATTTTGATGATCTTTAGTACTGAGCCAATCGTCCTTGTAGCTCGTCACCTACGATAGACCAAGAGCCCATACTGTTACCATTCCTCGCGGAGCAATTTGCACGAATCTCCCCTTGTGATCCGGTCAGTACGCCAAGTTGGCCCATCTTAACCATACCATCTATGAACTTTTCGAAAAACAATGTTTGGTTAACGGCAAAGCTCTGGACTATACTCTTGGTCCTTGAATCGGTATATAAATCTTGATCAGACGTAAACAAGCCTTGACGATTCATAAGGTCAACAAAGTACTTGTTGTCGAAAATGTTAGGGGTACGAAGGTCCAAATTGGTAGTGTTTGTAGTGTTTGAAGCAGGGCATGTGAGCTTAAGGTTATTAGCGAAGGTTTTATCCATGTTCGGGTCTTGCTGGGGGTAAAGTCGGTTGGTGAACGACGTACAATGGCCGATCCCAATGGTGTGACCACCCGAGAGGGCGACTAGATCGGTTGCAGTGAAGTTTTTGGAGGTAAATAAGTTGAGATTTTGAGTAGTGTTAAAAGTTGGTGGTGGTAGATTGGCTAATGTAACGTTTGCTGTTGCAAAATTTTGACTATCCCTTCTTCCTAAGGGGATGTTATAGTATGGTCCACCTGACTGCAAAATAACATACCAAATAGTAAGAGCATAGTTCATGAAAAGTGCACACATAAATGAAAATAATCAAAATAAATTTAGTGCTTGTTTGGTTGGAAGGTATTTCCCATAAAAATGGAAATTCCTAGACAATAGCTAAAATATGTTGTGTTTGGTTAGAAATTTCCTAGGAAATAAAATTTACAAGGGGAATGTAAATTCCCACATAACATGGAAAATAACTCATCAAGCCCCTTCTAAGTGAGTGAATTCCTACAATGCATAGGAAGTGTTTTCTTCCCATGATGTCAACCAAACACTTTTGTACAATTTTTATACAATTAGCAATGGAAATAACTTATGGAATATGATTTCATGTGGGAATTTATTTCTCATGTTGAACCAAAAAGACACTTAAACGTTAGGAAGGGCTAGGAATGACAAGTTCCTTAGTGTATAAAGATAATAATTCCCTCCGTATGAATATAAAAGTCAAATAAATGCTATAATATTTTTATATTCATCATTTAAATACGTGTTTAAAAGACAAATGAGATTTTATTTGGGAAATGAGGGAACAATTTGTATAATTTTCACCAAATAATGTCTCATTTTAAAATAATGGAATAATATGTTGTCAAAAAATAAAATAATGGAGTAATAAAGCATATAAGGTCTTTGATCAATTTGAACCCAACAGATCCTATTCCTACTTTTCCTAGTCAATTACTCTGGAATATGGATATATTATACATAAGTCAATTAATGCGCTTGGCTGAAAAACAAATAGCTGTATTCATTCCATAAGTAGTCCAAATGAAAAATCATTATACTTGCATGAATAAATTTTAGACATAAATATATAATGATGAACATGATAATTATAATTTGGTCATGGTTGGGTCATGTCACAATTAGATATAAACTCTGTATAATAAAAATGCTACTTTTTCCATTTTTTAATATTTGCAACATTTCTCTAAAACAAAAAATACCATGTTACATACAAATACAACACACTATAATTAAAAAGTACATCTATGTTGCAAACATTTAAAAATGGAGAAAGTACAATTGCAAGGTTCAATCTCTAGTCAATACATTACTCCCTCAGTCCCTTTTTGTTCGCATCATGAATCCACGTTTTGTAAGAGCTTTTTCAATCAAATGGTGCAAACAACAAGAAACGGAGGGAGTATAATGCAGTGATATTTTCATTAAAAACTCTACTTATTATCAATCAATGTACTTCACTTCTAGATCATCTACAGTGTAACTACTCCTTCTAGACCACAAACATAAATATCGTATATCATATATATTTTTGTAGAAATAATAAAGGATTGGATAAGATATCGTACCAATAATATGGATTCACGAGCGGCAAGAGCAGTAATATCGGCGCATGACACAACTTGACCACATTGGTTTTGAATTAGAGCTTGTATATCATTGATGATCTTGAATGCCGCCTGCCTCAATGTTAAGTTCGGGATCGCACTTTTCTCGCTTGGACCACTTGTTGATCCATCTAGCAATACTGAAGCATCACATCCCTTAGAAACGTAGTGCACATATAAACACAATAATTAGTATTTGACCATAAGTTTCAAGGAAATTGTGGATCCAAGGGAGCCATCTATAAAAAAAAAATTAATTTTATGACTAAAACAATATATATACTCCTTAGGATTTCTATCTATCTACCTAGTTCTTGTACATATGGTCATACATAGAAGACTTTTATGAACTAGTGTATTGTATAAACTGAACATAACAAAAATAAAATAAATTTCTATCAAGGACAGTGTCTAGGATCATGTTTATTAGCTAAATTTAATTTGTCTCAAAGTATTTATATAAAATCTTAACATTCATGATTTTAATATTCTGTACTTAAATATATTAATGGCTAAATAAGTACAAGTAAGAAGATAAATAAAGACTTAAAAAAGTGAACAGTAACACAAAATGATTAAAAGCAAGTGGAGGTCTAAACAAATGGTACTAAGTAGTAAGTAACGTCTTAGTCCGCATACACCACACTAGCCATGTAGGCCTAATATTTTTTTTTCATGTATACTTTCAAAATATTAATTTTAAACGAACATAACATTTAACCTATCATTATGTGATTATGCTTTTGTGCTGATAAGACTCTATATGAAATTTCAATTTTTAAAATTCTTAAAAAAACAAAGGAAATACAGTACATGAAAGGCACAAGCAAGTATTAAGAAATAGTTGAATGCATTATACCTGAACAAAGCAATCATGGAAGTGAAGTCGAAGCAAACCCGCAGCTTGAGTAGTATCATTCTCAAGAACTTGAAGAAGATGAATCCTAACAATGGATTCCAAATTAGGGCAACTAGTTGAATAAAATGTGTATGAAAGACCAGGCACAACTGGTACACTGCTTTGCTGACCCTCAGAAATTACAACTAGAAAAGATGAAACTATAACTAAAAATAGAACCAAATTATTTGATGAACCCATTTTTATTTTTTTCTCAAGCTCAAAATCAGTAACCTTATCTCTCAAGTGTACGTGTTTTTAATGTGAGACTTTTCCACTGCAATATAGGCCAATTTAAAGGAGGGAACAAACTAATAAAGCAGGTAGCAAAAAATTATTTCATGAAAAATTATTAAGTTCTTTTTATAAGGGTTAGTTGAATAATAGATCATGGTCAGAATTTAATAGTGTAACATCTTTGTTATTTTCCACATGGATGACTTGCTGCCTAGTATTCCGAGTTTTCAATTTTTCCATTCAAATTATCTGGTTAGATATTCATATTCTACATGTGGTTGGCCCAAGCTTGAAATATGTACTCCGTATCTCCTTGTCGATTTTTGGCATTTTAGCACACATTCATATTCTACTAAAGGATTACTTAGACAATCAATCTATCGTATTTAGAAATGTCAATTCGGATATTCGGATCGGGTTTGATGAGGTTGGATTGGGTCGAGTTTATTTTTACACTTGAGTCATGCTAAATTATTATGTCCACTCGAGTCGAATTTAGAATCGAGTCACTCGAGTCGAATATTTTTTCGAGTCACTCGATTTCGGATCGGTAAGTCGAGTGTGATTTTGACACCTCTAATCGTATTCAAACATTCCCTCCGATTTTTAATGATCACATCAGTTTGACTTATTATTTGGGTATCATGGTTTTTTTTTTTTTTATTCATCTTTAATAAAAAAAAATATGTAGGCAGCAATTAGCTAGACTTTTTATTTAAGGAAGTAACTTAAATTTAAAAATTACTTTTAAAAAAAATACGAGTGTTTTAATTATTATCCATTTTTCATCACTCAATGTAAGAAAAAATGTGCACATAAATTCAATCTTTAATCATATATGTACTTCATATCATACTTTATCTATCCAAAATCCAATTGTTAGTTCTATTTGGTGTATCTCATAGCTTAGTGTTCTACACACTTTGGCACAAATTTAAAATGACAAATATTTCGTTTTAATCTGCAGACACGACTTACCAATCTGATTAACTTAAAACGACAAACAAGGCGAGTATGACCCGAATTTGAAGTGACTTGATCCATCAAAATTCAATTTGAACCCAAACTGCACCACTCGATCTGACCACTCTAAAAATACTAACCACCCTCTGGTATATATCCCTAGCAATCTGTCAGTATCTACTAATTATAATGTTGGTTTTAGATCTACTTTCTTAATGTTAGTTTTAGATCTACTTTCATACAAGTTATAAAACTTAAGCAACTTGATGTATGCGTAGCATATATATAAAATGAAAATCTATTACCATCACTAAATACAATCAGATTTTAATTTATATAATTTATTCTGTAGTATAATCATATCTTTCTATATAGTGGTTGAAAATATATGGTTCATATAGAATTGTGTGAATCCCTCATATTGTGTCGACTTTTGTTGTGATAAATATAATAAAATCCAAACAACTAACATTAAACAACTTTAGATTTGGTTTGTAATCTTGGATATTAGTTTTGTCGTTCGCATATTGTTCTAGTAGGAAGGAAAAATTAGTCAATTAAAAAAATTGACACACATGTTACTTCTCTTGAAAAAGTAAACTTTCATTGACATTTTATAAAGATAAGGGACGGTTTAGGCCATGTCATGTATTGTTGGTTAGCGGAATTGCGGAAATAACCATTATATACTCACATTATGGCCGTGTTCGGCCATTATATACTCACATTATAGGCGTGTTCGGCACTAGTTTTTGAGTAGCTTTTTTTTTCTTTTTTTTTTCTAGTAGTGTTCTAACTAATTAAAATGCTAATCGCTACCTCAAACATTACCACCAAACAAGGCCTAGGTAGCTTTTAGTGGTTTGACTTGACAAAAAATATGAGTGTTTGTAGTGATTGGAGTAGCTTTTAGTGGTGAAGGTAAGTTTTATCAAAAGTTAGAAGTATTAGCTTTTGAAGTTAGAGGTAGCTTTTGATGTAGTTGTTGGAAATTTAATCTATAGTTTTAAAAATAAAATATTGATTTTTATATGTAACATCTAGTCAACCGCTACTTTACTAATATAAATACTCATACCTAAATTATCTATTTTCACAGCTAACAGCTACCTACACAGCTAACAGCTAGCTTCACAGCTAACAGTTACTATAGTACTTGTACTAGTTTTTTTTGTCTCAGACCACAGATAAAATATAAACGACGTCTATAGGAGAGAAGTGAGAAGGAGAACATAAATATTTAGGACTCAAAGCCCGTGAAAAAATATTACTCCCTCCGTTTCGTAATAATCGTAACATTATGTGTTACACAAAAATTAAGGAAATTTATAAAGTGCGAACCAAAAAGTAAATTTTATAATATACAATATAATTACTGGGGATATATATTTAATTGTTAGTAGGAGAGAGATAATAATAAAAAAAAATAGTGTAAGTGGGGATGGTAGAAGAGAGAAATAATAAAATAGTATTGGACCTTTATCGAATAAGGTAGTGTTGCAATTATTATTAAAACGGATGTAAAAGAAAAATGTTACGATTATTGCGAAACGAAGGAACTACTGTATAGGAAATAATCAACAAACAGAGAATAAACAACAAATTTTGCACACCAAACTTTTGTTATTCTTTCTAACAAGCCTTTGTTTGCTTTTTTTTGGTGTAGAAAATTGTTTTAAAAGTCGACATATGTCAGCTAAAAAATGGAGGAAATATTGATAAATTGATTGGGACAAGCACAACATATCTTTAAGTCTAGATTTATCTTGAGATCTTTAATTGATCTAATCTAGTTGTAATACGAGTAATAGTTAATTCAATCTATTTATCATCTACGGGATACATGCTTAGTAATAATTGAATTTGATATAGCTAGTCATGTTCATCAATCTGGTACCCTTACTTGCCCAACTATGTAGTTGGGATGTTTTGTTACGTTTTACTCCATTTTTTAGAGATACGCAATAAGCTAAGCTTATTAACTAATACTCTTAATTAAATATGGTTCTCTGTGAAGATTTTTTATATTTTGGTTAAAAAGGAAGTTATTCATAAATTAACTAGATTAGCCCTTGTCTAGCAATAATTGTTTCGTACACCCGGGTGTACCATGCGCATGGTACACCCGGAAGAACATCACTCTATGAATAAAAGAACATTACCTATAAATAGAAGAACATTACATATAAATAAAAGAACATTGCCTATAAATAAAAGAACATTACATATAAATAAAAGAACATTACTTATAAATGAAAAATCGTAGCTATAATAATGTATTATATATTACAAACGAATATAGAGTACATCAAAAAGAACCTTACATATAAAATAAAGAACATTACATAAAATAAAAGAACATAACTTAAAAATAAAATAACACTACATATAAATATAAAAGAATATTATCTTTCTGAAAAAGAACGTTACATATAAATAATGGAAAAATGCTACTACCCAAACCCATGGAAGAAGATGATGAACAACAATGGTAGTGCCAAAAATTTAAACAATCAAGTAATTTCATGATAATAAAGCTTTATATGAACAACAAACATTATCACAAAACACAAAATATAGGTAAAAATAACAAGCAAAGAGAGAGTTCACTATTGAAGCACAACCTAGGGTTTCATATTCATGAAGTAGAACAAAGATGGACAAAGAAAGAGAAGTCATACCTCAAATTAGTAGAATACCCTTGTGAAGTGAATTAATAGTGGAAATCAAGCAAGTTGAACACTCAATTGCAAGTTTTTTAGCCAAAATCAAAAATACCCAAAACTCTCAAATCATGAAAAATTCGAAAATTTGGTTGTGAAATTCAGATTTTGGAGTGTATAATCTAGTATAAATGTGTTTGTGAGTGATGAATTAAGCACATAAAAGCTATAAAAATCAAGAAATAAAATGGAAGAGGAAGTTAGAGGGAGAGGAGAGAGAGTATCAAAGAGAGAGAAAATGAATGGGTGAAATGAACATTACATATAAAATAAAGAACATTACATTGAGACTTCATAAAAAAAGAACATTACATATTAATAAAAGAACATTAAATTTGTCCCAATTTTTTTTATTTATATGTAATGTACTTTCGGGTGTACCATGCACATGATACACCCCCCTCTTCCATACTATTTTCACTTGTCTAGTGGGTGAATACTACAAGGATTCGTGAATTGAATGAGCTTGAGGAGATGCATTAACTTTTTGAAGGCATCAACTTTAATTTTAGGTTAAAGTGACCAAAGGTATGAAGCTCTAGGGCAAAGTCTTAGGATATGTTCATTGCATTGGTTTCAATTTCTAGTGTTTAGACAGAGTACAATTAGAGTTTTTGTTGAGGATCCTTTTAGCAAGGTTAGAGTCTTTTGGTAATCTGTCTCAAGAATATACTAGTTTATCATCCTGATAAACAAAAACAAAAATAAAATAAAAAATAAAGGCAAAAGCTAACCAACGCCCCAGGGGCATTGGATAAACTAACTAAAAATAGAAATGTTAAATTAAATGAACATTAATTATACCAATCGACGTATGATTTTGGCATACATTCCCAAATTAATACTACTTTAGGAAATATTTTGAATGCTTATCTAACGCCTCGGGGGCGTTCGATAGCAAGATCGCAAAAAAAATCATTTATTCAGTGATATTTTTGTAAATAAATCAATAATTTTTTATTAAGTGTGGGCCCACAAATGTTGATTTATTTATGAAAATGTTATGCTAACAGAGATTTTTTGTTGTTTTATTTACGAAAATGTCACTAGATAAATGATTTTTGATTATCATGATGATAATTTTGGCTCCCACCATAGTTATTTTTTTTTTTTTGATAAATGATTTTTTTTTTTAAAAAAAAACAAGGTATATCCCAAATCCATTTCCAGCAGGGAATTGGTCCTATAGCATAAAAGTCAGCGTGACAAAAAGGTCATGATGGGTTTAAAACTCATCCACCTCTTTTTTCAAGTAGAAGCACAATCATGGGTCTCAACCATCCGCTTATGTAACCTTTTGGTTAAATTGATAAGTATGTATTCTTTTTCCTTTCCTTTTTCATTTAATGTGAGGCACTCTCCCAACCAATTATTTCTAGTTAGCCATCTTAATCGGATTGCA